CCAGCTCAGTTTTTTCCTCCATCCTGGGATGAATTTTCCCTCTTCACCCCATGTGTCTTTCCCTTTGAGCAGCCCCAGCTCAGCTTTTTCCTCCATCCTGGGATGGATTTTCCCTCTTCATCCCCTGTGCCTTTCCCTGGTGAGGGGAGCAGCCCCAGCTCAACTTTTCCTCCACCCTGAGATGGATTTTCTGTGTTATCCCCTCTGCCTTTCCTGCTGAGCAGCCCCAGCTCAGCTTTTCCTCCATCCTGGATGAATTTTCCCTGTTATCCCATATGCCTTTACCCCCTGAGCAGCCCCAGCTCAGCTTTTTCCCCCATCCTGGGATGGATTTTCCATTTTTCCCCTGTGCATTTCCCTTTTGAGCAGCCCCAGTTCAGCTTTTTCTCCATCCTGGGATGGATCTTCCGTGTTCATCCCATGTGTCTTTCCCTTTGAGCATCCCCAGCTCAGCTTTTTCCTCCACCCTGGGATAAATTTTCCCTTTTATCCTTTCTGCCTTTCCCTGCTGAGGGGAGCAGCCCCAGCTCAACTTTTCCTCCACCCTGGGATGGATTTTTCCCGTTTGTCCCCTGTGCTTTTCCCCTTTGAGCAGCCCCAGCTCAGTTTTTTCCTCCATCCTGGGATGGATTTTCCCTGTTATCCCATATGCCTTTACCCCCTGAGCAGCCCCAGCTCTGCTTTTTCTCCACCCTGGGATGAATTTTCCCCGTTTGTCCCATGTGCCTTTACCCTCTTTGAGCAGCCCCAGCTCAGTTTTTTCCTCCACCCTGGGATGAATTTTCCCTGTTATCCCCTATGCCTTTACCCCCTGAGCAACACCAGCTCAGCTTTTCCTCCACCCTGGGATGGATTTTCCCTCCTCATCCCCTGTACCTTTCCCTGCTGAGGGGGGCAACACCAGCTCAGATTTTTCCTCCATCCTGGGATGGATTTTCCATTTTCCCCCTGTGCTTTTCCTCCTGAGCAGCCCCAGCTCAGCTTTTTCTCCACCTTGGGATAAATTTTCCCTCTTCATCCCCTGGGCCTTTCCCTGCTGAGGGGAGCAACACCAGCTCAGCTTTTCCTCCACCCTGGGATGGATTTTCCCTGTTATCCCATGTGCCTTTACCCCCTGAGCAGCCCCAGCTCAGCTTTTCCTCCATCCTGGAGGAATAAATAGAAATAAATTTATATTTATTCTATATAAATATAAATTTTACATATAAAATTTATATTTATATAAAATATTTTTATATTATGTATATTTAGGCTCCATCCCCATGGAGCTGGGAATGACCCTACAGAGCTGGGAATGACCCCACAGAGTTAGGAGTGACCCCACAGATATGGGAATGTTTTCCAGAAAATGGAATTTCTGGATTAGGAGAACACAAGGAGGTGGTTGTGGCTGCAGGTTTCATTCCCACCTTTTGGCCAAGGATGTGTGGAGAGGCCACAGGGTCATTTCAGAGGATTCTAAAGTTATTTTAAGTTATTTTTATGCTTTTTTTTTTAATCCATCCCTTTAATACCTCTTGAATAAAAGCTGCATTTTCAGAGATCGTGTGGCAAGGAGCAAAAAGGCGTCAGTTAAAAACTGAAATCACAGAAATGTACTGCAATATTACCAATACACCAACAAAATCTGATTTCCTGGCCCGCTCTCCTGGGTTATTTATTTATTCCCCGTGTTTTTTTCCTGCTGAAGCTTTTCCCTCTCTGACCATCTTGTTGCTCAGCGTGCAGACAGGTGGCTGGATCCAAAATCCTCCCTGGTGTCGCTGGCTGCTGCTCTGCTCACAGATATCTGTGTGCTCTTGGGTGTGTGGTGCTGCAGGGCAGAGAGGGGCTGGAGCCGGGCTTTTCCTCTGCAAAACCCTCAGTTCTGATTTCTAGGCTGAGTCTGGGTCCTTCCCTCTGCCAAACCCCTCAATCCTGGGCTCTTTTCTCTGCCAAACCCCGCAGTCCTGGTTTCCAGGATGAACCCGGGGCTCTTCCCTCTGCCAAATTCCCCAGTTCTGGTTTCCAGGCTGAACCTGGGCCTTTCCTTCTGCCAAACCCCTCAGTCCCAGGCTCTTCTCTCTGCCAAATCCCCCAGGCTGAGCCTGCGCCTTTTCCAAACCCCCCAGTCCTGGTTTCCATGCTAAAACCAGGTTCTTCTCTCTTCCAAATCCCCCAGTTCTGGTTTCCAGGATGAACTGGCGCTCTTCCCTCCACCAAACCCCTCAATCCCGGACTCTCCCTCTGTCAAATCCCTCAGTTCTGATTTCCAGGCTGAGTCTGGGTCCTTCTCTCTGCCAAACCCTTCAATCCTGGGCTCTTTGCTCTGCCAAAACCCCCCAGTTCTGATTTCCAGGATGAACCGGGCCTCTTCCCTCTGCCAAACCCCTCAATCCTGGGCTCTTTTCTCTGACAAACCCCCCAGTCCTCATTTCCAGGCGGAGTCTGGATCCTTCTCTCTTCGAAATTCCCCCAATCCTGATTTCCAGGCTGAACCTGGGCCTGTCACTCTGCCAAACCCCTCAGTTCTGATTTCCAGGATGAACCGGGGCTCTTCCCTCCACCAAACCCCTCAATCCTGGGCTCTCCCTCTGCCAAACCCCTCAATTCTGATTTCCAGGCTGAGCCTGGGCCTTTCCCTCTGCCAAACCCCTCAGTCCTGGGCTCTTCCCCCATTTCCATGCTGATTTCTGATTTTCATGATTTTTTTCTCTCCCTCAGGTGCCGTTTTTCCCCATTTCAGAGCCGATCATTGATTTTGATGATTTTTCTCCCCCTCAGGTGCCGTTTTTCCCCATTTCCATGCCGATTGTTAATTTAATAATTTTTCTCTCTCCCCAGGTGCCGTTTTTCCCCATTTCCTTGCTGATTTTGATGATTTTTCTCTCCCCCAGGTGCCGTTTTTCCCCATTTCCGTGCTGATTTTGATGATTTCTCTCTCCCCAGGTGCCGTTTTTCCCCGTTTCCGTGCCGCCTGTGCCCCCTGCCCGCTCTCCAAGCTGGCGATGTCCAGGGTGCCGAGTCCCCCCCCTCCGGCAGAGATGTCCAGTGGCCCCGTGGCCGAGAGCTGGTGCTACACACAGGTGAGCTCAGCTGGATGGGAATGGGGATTTGGGATGGGTTTGGGGTCTGGGGCTGCAGAGGGGTCTGCTGGAGTTACACACAGAGACTTACACAGCAGTTACACACAGGATTTACACACAGCAGTTACACAGCAGTTACACAGAGGAATTACACACAGCAGTTACACACAGGATTTACAATAGTTGCATATGTGAATTACACACGGCAGTTACACACAGGAATTATACACAGCAGTTACACACAGGGCAGTTACAGGAATTACACATGGCAGTTACACACAGAAATTACAACAGTTACACGGATTAATTACACACAGGAATTACACACAGGTGTTACACATACAGCAGTTACACACAGCAGTTACACACACAGCAGTTACAGCAGTTACTCACAGGAATTACAGCAGTTACACAGCCCCACACAGAGGTTACACAGCAGTTACACACAGCAGTTACACAGAGGACAGTTACACACAGGATTTACACACAGCAGTTACACAGAGGACAGTTACACACAGGATTTACACACAGCAGTTACACAGCAGTTACAGGAATTATACATGGCAGTTACACACAGGAATTATACACGGCAGTTGCACAGCAGTTACACACAGCAGTTACACGAATTACAACAGTTACTCAGCAGTTACTCAGCAGTTACAGGAATTATACATGGCAGTTACACACAGGGCAGTTACACACAGGGCAGTTACAAACAGGGCAGTTACTCACTGCAGTTACAGCAGTTCCTCCCTGCAGCCGTCCCTCGCCATGGCAGCCGCTGCCCGGTGCCCATGGCCGGGCCCTGCAGGAGTCTCTGGGCTCAGCCCATTGCCACCATTGCCCCATTGCCCTTTCCCAGTGCCCCATTGCCACTGCCCATTGCCCCGTTGCCACTGCCCATTGCCCCATTGCCCCATTGCCCATTGCCCCATTGCCTTTGCCTGGTGCCCCATTGCCCCATTGCCACTGCCCTGTTGCCCCATTGCCCCATTGCCCCCTTGCCCANTTCTGATTTCCAGGCTGAGTCTGGGTCCTTCTCTCTGCCAAACTCCCAAATCCTGGGCTCTCGCTCTGCCAAACCCCTCAGTTCTGATTTCCAGGATGAACTGGGGCTGTTCCCTCCACCAAACCCCTCAATCCCGGGCTCTTCCCTTCACCAAACCCCTCAATCCTGGGCTCTCCCTCTGCCAAATCCCTCAATTCTGATTTCCAGGCTGAGCCTGGGCCTTTCCCTCTGCCAAACCCCTCAGTCCTGGGCTCTTCCCCCATTTCCGTGCTGATTTCTGATTTTGATGATTTTTCTCTCTTCCCCAGGTGCCGTTTTTCCCCATTTCCATGCTGATTTTGATGATTTTTCTCTCCCTCTCCCTCTCTCCCCAGGTGCCGTTTTTTACCATTTCCGTGCCGATTTCTGATTTTCATTATTTTTCTCTCTCCCTCCAAGTACCATTTTCCCCCCATTTCCATGCCGATTTCTGATTTTGATGATTTTTCTCTCTTCCCCAGGTGCCGTTTTTCCCCATTTCCGTGCTGATTTTGATGATTTTTCTCTCCCTCTCCCTCTCTCCCTCAGGTGCCGTTTTTCCCCATTTCCGTGCCGATTTCTGATTTTCATGATTTTTCTCTCTCCCTCCAAGTACCATTTTCCCCCCATTTCCATGCCGATTGTTAATTTAATGATTTTTCTCTCTCCCCCAGGTGCCGTTTTTGCCCATTTCCGTGCTGATTTTGATGATTTCTCTCTTCCCCAGGTGCAGTTTTTCCCCATTTCAGTGCCGATTTCTGATTTTCATGATTTTTCTTGCTCCCCCAGGTGCCCTTTTTCCCCATTTCCGTGCTGATTTTGATGATTTTTCTCTCTTCCCCAGGTGCCGTTTTTCCCCATTTCCATACTGATTGTTAATTTAATAATTTTTCTCTCTCCCCAGGTGCCATTTTTCCCCGTTTCCGTGCCGCCTGTGCCCCCTGCCCGCTCTCCAAGCTGGCGATGTCCAGGGTGCCGAGTCCCCCCCCTCCGGCAGAGATGTCCAGTGGCCCCGTGGCCGAGAGCTGGTGCTACACACAGGTGAGCTCAGCTGGATGGGAACTGGGATTTGGGATGGGTTTGGGGTCTGGGGCTGCAGAGGGGTCTGCTGGAGTTACACACAGAGACTTACACAGCAGTTACACACAGTTACACACATTAATTACACACGGCAGTTACACACAGAGAGTTACACACAGCAGTTACACACAGAGAGTTACACAGCATTTACACACAGCATTTACACACAGCTGTTACACACATGAATTACACACGGCAGTTACACACATGAATTACACACGGGAGTTACACACAGGAATTATACATGGCAGTTACACAGAGCAGTTACACACAGGGCAGTTACACACATAGCAGTTACAGCAGTTACACACAGGAATTACAGCAGTTACACAGCAGTTACAGGGCAGTTACACACAGCAGTTACACGAATTACAACAGTTACTCAGCAGTTACACAGCAGTTACACCAGTTACACACAGCAGTTGCACACACGAATTACAACAGTTACTCTGCAGTTACTCTGCAGTTACCCAGCAGTTACGCACAGCAGTTACACATGGCATTTACACACACAGGAATTACAGCAGTTACACAGCAGTTATACAGCAGTTACCCAGCAGTTACACACTGCAGTTATACACATGAATTACACACGGCAGTTACACACAGTAGTTACAGGAATTATACACGGCAGTTACACAGCAGTTCCTCCCTACAGCCGTCCCTCGCCATGGCAGCCACTGCCCGGTGCCCATGGCCGGGCCCTGCAGAAGCCCGGGGCTCATCCCAGTGCCCCGTTGCCCCCATTGCCACTGCCTGGTACCCGTGGCAAGGTCCTGCAGGATCTCCTGGGCTCATCCCATTGCCCGGTGCCCCATTGCCCCATTGCCCCTGTCCAGGCCCTGCAGTAGCCCTGGGCTCAGCCCGTTGCCACGACTGCCCTTGTCCAGGCCCTGCAGCATCTCCTGGGCTCAATTTGGTGCCCCATTGCCGCTGCCCGGTGCCTGTGGCCAGGTCCTGCAGGATCTCCTGGGCTCAGCCCAGTGCCCCATTGCCCTGTTGCCCCATTGCCCTTGCCCCATTGCCCTTGCCCCATTGCCCTTGCCTGGTGCCCCACTGCCACTGCCCAACACCCCATTGCCACTGCCCATTGCCCCATTGCCACCATTGCCGGTGCCCATGGCCAGGCCCTGCAGGAGCCCCTGGGCTCAATCCGGTGCCCTGTTGCCCCATTGCCCTTGCCCATTGCCCCATTGCCCCGTTGCCCTTGCCCAGTGCCCCATTGCCCCATTGTCCTTGCCCATTGCCCCATTGCCCAATTGCCACTGCCCAGTGCCCCATTGCCCCATTGTCCTGGTGCCCCATTGCCCCGTTGGCCATTGTCCCATTGCCTTGTTGCCCCGTTGCCCTGTTACCCTTGCCCATTGCCCCATTGCTCCATTGCCCGTTTCCCCATTGCCCGTTCCCCCATTGCCCGTTGCCCCATTGCCCCATTGGCACTGCCCAGTGCCCGCTTGCCCAGTGCCCCATTGCCCAGTGCCCCATTGCCCTTGCCTGGTGCCCCATTGCCCATTGCCCCATTGCCCATTGCCCATTGCCCCGTTGCCCCATTGTCCCATTGCCCC